TGCCATGGCTTTTCCTTTTGCTTTCACTTGTTCTGAAGCATTGGATGTTTCGGGAGAATAACATCTCCCACTTCTTGTAAAGAAACCGATCTCGCTCACTGCTTCAGACGTCAATGTAGTACTCAAACTCTGTATTTTCTCTTCTGTTTTATCTAGAGAATCAGATCCTCCTACCATTGAAACATGGGTAGTATAATTCCAAGGTACCCTGCGGGTATCTTTGTATGGAAATGGTAGAGGAGTGGTAATGACTACTTTTGGTTTTATTGGTGCCGGAATCACCGTGGATGATTTCACATTAATGATCACAGGATCATTTATTCTTTGATTTGGTTTAGAATCCTCTGATGAGCAAACATCATCTTCTTTTTTCCCGGGTTCTTCTTCAAAGAATTCTATTTCTCTGTTGTTCATCAATTTTTGCACCAAGTTTCTAAACTCAGGACATAGTTGAATTTTATGCCCTTTCTCCTGATGATATTCACAATAATTCTTGCCTTCATTCTGCTTTGGCCTGAATTGTTGTGGAATTATACCGGCTAAAGAAAGCTGTTGGAATATCCAAACAAATGGAGATTTAATTTCAGAAATGTCAGTCTTTGCTTTCTTTCTGTTCTCTTCATTAATTGCATTCACGTTTTTATCTCCATGATTTGGCAATGGATGACTTGATGCGGATGGTGTATTGAATTCCAACTTCCCAGTGTTAATCAAATTTTGAACCACCCTTTTGAATGCTAAACAGTTTTCAATAGAATGTCCTGTAATTCCTTCATGGTAAACACAGTGTGCCTTTGTATCATACCAAGGAGGGAATGGTGGTTGCATGGGAACCAAAGGGTAGGGCCGTATAACATCTGCTTTTAACAGCGAATCATAGATCTCTGCATATGATACTGGTAAAGGTGTAAAAGATAACCTTTCATTTTCTTTTCGAGATCCTCTGGACTCTGCTCGATTAGTGTTTGTTTCCTCTTTCTTAACCCTTGGCTGGGTTATTGTAACACTTTTCGATGAATCTTTGCTGTAAGAATTGGCATTGTTGACTTCATTCTCCTTTTTCCGGTACGTAGGTCTTTTGGAACTAGACCCATCATTCGATTCAATCTTGCCACTTTTCAAAACATTTTCAATTAATTCTCCAGAAATGACCAAATCTGCAAAATTTCTGGTTGCATTCCCCATTAGATGATTTAAATAAGGGGCCTTCAATGTATGGACAAACATTACTGTGGCCTCTTTTTCTGACAAAGGTGGTTGAACTTGGGCCGCAGTGTCACGCCATCTCTGGGCATACTGTCTGAATGTTTCATTATTCTTTTTCTCCAAATTCTGGAGAGTCCATCTATCAGGGACCATGTCTGTCACATGGCGGTACTGCTCTAAAAATGCTTTAGCCAAATCTTTCCAAGATCTAATGTTGGCTTTGGTCAATTGAGTATACCATTTTAAAGCCGGTCCTGTCAAACTATCCTGGAAGCAGTGAATTAACAATTTTTCGTCCTTCACATATCCTGCCATTCTTCGACAAAACATAGTAATGTGGGATGAAGGGCATGTAGTACCGTTATATTTATCAAATTCGGGAGCTTTGAACTTGATAGGGAGGATTAGGTCTGGAACCAAACTCAACTCACTAGCATCAAATCCATAGAATGATTCAGTTATTTCCACGGATTTCATTCGCTCTTCTAAACTCTTGATCTGTCTGGTCAGTTCTTCATTTACTTTTTGTTTCTCATTCAGCTCATTTAAATCTGGGATCAAATTCTCAGTATTAAGATCCCCTACTTTCACATCTGATATAAGTGGATTTTTGCTTGAAGATGCAGGATCCACTTGTTGATCTTCATGTGATTTGACTTCTTGTAATGCAGATGTACGAGCATTGATTTGTATAGGGGTAGTACCAGAGTGATAAATTGATTCTGGTGGAAAACCTAGAGGATATATGGGTTCTTGGTCAAAAGATACAGGATTTTCAGGCATTTTTCCAATAATAGCCTGCCTTTTAAACATATCCTCTATCTTCTTCATCATACTGTCTTGTGAATTTGTAATGCTGGCTTCAATTTTTTCCAACTTCATTCTCATTTCTTCTTGTTCTTTATGATGCTGTTCTTCAATACGCTGTATTTTATCCTCCATAATTCTCTTAGTAGCTTGTCTAGTACCGTAGTGATGTAGTATTTCTCTTTTGGCCAGAGTAACTGCGATTGAAAAATCTCTTAATATTATTTTTTCAAATTTTAATTAATGAATTTTAACTTAATAAATAAAATAATTCATAGCGAAAATTATGAAATGAATGATGAATGTATGCAAAATGTATGTATGCAAAAAGATATTGATCCCAAAAAGTTAACTGTCATAGAACAACTTTCATCGGCATACAAAAGTTTCTTTATAATAGTTCAGAACTACAGATAAGGCGTAGCTTTCCTATTAAGCTCTATAATTTCTTTCATTAACCATGACACCTTCTTTCCACACTTAGAAACTGGATCAACGTGATGCTCAATTATTTCGGCTTCAACAGCTAGTTCCCCAACATATCTGGCAACCTCGCTCATTTGTACCATGGCCTCGAACACCATATTGCTTCTTTCTTCACTTCTTTCGACATAGAACTCAGTTGACTTTTGCCATCGTTCAGTTGTTCCTTCAAGAGTTTGCTCTAACTCAGTGATTCTGACTTGACAATTGTGCAGAATTTTTTCAAGATCTCTAATGCGTCTTCGCAGTGAAGCATTTTCCTCATTACTTTCTTTGAGATCATTAGGTCCTAGACGAACCTTTTCTTGAAACAATGATTCTTCCAGTTGCAAAATGTAAGCATTAAACTCTGAGTTTTTGTTTCTAGACTGATCCAAATCCTCTTCAAGTTTTGTTCGTGCTTCTTGCGTTCTTTGATTAAGCTTCTGGATTTGAACATCTTTGTTTCTGCATCTTTGCATCCAATTGCTAGCCACCTCTTGCTCTACCTCAAGTCTGGTATTGAAATTTTTTCTTTCCAGCTCCCATTTTTCTTTTTCAACATTGGATTCTTCTATCTTTTGGCCTCTGACTTCAAGCTCAACAATCAACTGGTTCATTTCAGATTCAAATCCCTTGAACATGATACTTTTCTCGCTTTCAAATTTAACAAAGATGTCATTCTTCATCTCCTCTAAATCTTTGGCTCGATCTTTTTCTTTTTGCATTTCATTCATGATCTCACGGTGTTCAGCCTTGTGTTTTATAATTCGCTCTCGTCTGTCGACCTCGAAATCTTCCATTTTTTGCTTTCCTTTTTCCAGGCTTTTGAGTAGACAGCTATTCTTCCCTTTTAGATCTTCAACTCGTCTTTTCTCAATGTTCAATTCTCTGGTCATTTGTACCGTCGATTGACTGGGTCCTGATGCTTTTCGGGATTTATATAACTCCTGATAATCTTTCTCTGCTGGGGAAATTAATATTAATAAATTAAAAACTGGCTCTCTAGTTTTTAATGAATTAGGTCTAAATAAGAGACTACATTTTTTTATAAGTTAGGATTGAATTTAAAATATTATCGATTTAAAAACTCCTAATTATTCAATAATAATTACTCGTATACTTTACACACGTGACGTTCGAACTGAAGACTTCAAAAATCACTAAAAGTTTTTAATAAATCTTACCCGTAATTTCAAACAAATATGTCTAAATCCGAAACAATAAGACTAAACTTACACGTGTAAGAAAATCTAGAATGGATAAATCTAATCCACGTGTGTGAAATTACAACTTGAATGAATGCTTGAAAGCAAAGGCTACACTTCTATCACTTAAAGGGCGGTTTATTTACCCCCTCCATTATTTAACTTCACCCCTAAAAACAGAAAGACGTCACCGTGCTTATTGGGTTACCTACCAACTACATGCTTAATATTACGAAGATTGTAAACTTATTCAACTGTTGGTTTTAATCAGATTAATTTTTTAGATTTTGTATCATATGATGAATAGTTTATGATAATTTAAAGTAAAGATATTAGTTTTTCAATCTTTGTAAAATAGAAGAATGAAATACAAATTACACCATGCATGAATTTAGTATTGACTATGAATATATAAAAAAAAATGTAAAGTACACAAATGGTCCCCTAACTATATAATATTGTTTATTAAGTCCCTTGACTATTAAAATTTAAAAAATGATCATTCAACTATTCATTAAGTTCTAAATTTGTTATTTTTCATTAAAAAAATTGACGGTTGACTAATATTTTTATTAATTTGGGACAAGTATAAGGCAATATATGTTTAAAGATAACTCTAAACCATTTGACATTGTACACACTCACACCGCTAATATTCCTGGTGCTCAAACTCGAGACCTCAAGAAATAACAACAACTTCTTTACCACTAAGGTCGCTTGGTTCGTGCAAATGAAAGGACGGTTGTCTATGTTAGATGTTAACATGATGATTGTGATATGATAGTCGTTTGTGCTTCTGGGATTAAATTTTATCATATAATAATTAGTATATTAACGTTTAACTCAGAATACCGCCAAATTTTTAACGAAAAATGACGAGTTTGGAACATAATCAATAGTTGAGGGACCATTTTGTAACTTTTAATAGTCAATGTCTCAATAAAGCATTACCTTATAGTTGAGACCATTTTTTTACTTTACCCAATATTAAAGAAAACTAAATTAATGAAGTTATAGGTAAGCTGCGATTGTTTTACACATGATGAGTGTTTTCTCGTAAAGGTTGTAGTTGGTGCAGTTAAGCTATCTGCCATCCTCCAAACGACACCTAAATAATAGAACCCTTTTCCAAACGACAAACTAAATACCAAAACGAAGGCTCTTGCTTTCTTCTTCTTCCATCATTAACATTTCGATTTCAAGCTCTCCTTTTTATTTATATAAATACCCCTCTCTCCCAGGGTTTTTGCTCATTACTCTTGTTTGTAGATCATCATCATCGAGCTTTTAGCTGCTGTTGTTTGGTAGAGAGGAAACCACACATAAATATGGATCCGACCATCGATTCCAAGCTTGTTTCTGAGCCTGTTGAGACGAAAAAATTGAAGAAAAGAGTTCAATCGCCGTCGTATGATTTGGTGTCATACAAGGAGTTGCCGGAGTACATGAAGGACAATGAGTTTATTCTGAATTACTATAGGGTTAATTGGACTCTCAAAGAAGCTCTCTTTAGCATCTTTCGTTGGCATAACGAAACACTTAATGTTTGGACGTAAGTCTAAGCTAAAAACAAACCCAGAGTTTCGTTTTTTTATGGTCTTTTGTTTTTAATTTGATTCTGGTTTTTGTGATGGATTCTGCAGGCATTTATTTGGGTTTGTTCTATTTCTGGGATTAACAGTGACTAATTTGATTGAAGTCCCACAGGTGTCTGATCTCATTGCCTTCTTTACCAGGTTCGTTTAAGGTTTATGTATGTATGCATGCATGTGTGTATGTATGTATGTGCTAGGAATTTATTGTATAAAAATGATGCAGGTCTTTACCTATGAATGGAGACATCAATGTTTCTCATCATTCTCGAGACCTATTTGTGGTGAGTGCCATTTATTCATAAATTACATTCGTCACTCTGCAAGTTGTTTAGTTTTGATTATGCCATGCATAGTTGCCTGACTTTGATAGTTGCAGAGAACAATGAATCTCGTAGATTTGAAGCCGGAATCGGACGTTACGTCCGCAACGCGGTGGCCGTTCTTCGTATTCTTAGCCGGCTCCATGTTCTGCCTCCTATCGAGCAGCATTTGCCACCTCTTTTCTTGCCACTCGCAACATCTCAGCCGGTCGTTGTTGCGACTCGACTTCACCGGGATCACCACCATGATCATCACATCATTTTTCCCACCAATCTATAATGCTTTCGAATGTGACACGAAATGGCACTTCATCTACCTCGGTGGAATCACGGTTTTAGGCTTGTGCACCATCATGACACTGCTATCACCTGCCTTGTCGACCAAGAAATTTCGAGGGTTTCGAGCTTTACTCTTCTCGTCGATGGCGCTCTTCGGCATTATCCCTGGTATCCACGCCGTGTTCGTCAATTGGTCTAATCCGCACCGTAACATCACCCTGGCCTACGAGTTGGCCATGGCTATGTTTTATTTGACGGGGACCCTATTCTACGTTAGCCGAATCCCGGAGCGATTCAAGCCCGGATGGTTCGACTTAGCCGGCCACAGCCACCAAATATTCCACGTCCTGGTAGTGATGGGTGCATTGGCTCATTATGGTGCTTCTCTTGTATTTATGGACTGGCGCGATGGCCATAGCTGTTAAGCGGCTTCTGAGTGATATTCATAATTCATTTATACTTGAAATTTATGTATTCTTTCTCTCAATTGTTTCATTCGTTAGTGAATTTAGGAAAGTTAAGCTTTCTTCATTCAAATATCCTCCTTGTGATTTATTTATTTGTTAATTCATTTGTATTTGATGTATTGGTGATAAGATATATAAGTAATAAATATTTTAATATAAGGGTAATGTACACAAATGATCTCTCGATTATAAGGTGGTGTTTTGTTGAGTCTCCCAACTATCAAAAGTTACAAAATAATCCTCCGACTATAGGATGTTGCTTTGTTGAGTCCTTCAAGTATTAAAAGTTATAAAATAGTCACATTACTATTCATTATGTTCCAAAATCATCCTTATCCATTAAAAATTGATGACCGTCTGAGTTGGATGTTACTCTGTTGTCTGAGATATGATAAAATATGATACAAGAATCTCAAATGACTATTATATCTCAGACAACAAATTAACATTCAACTCAAACTGTTGTTATTTTTTAAATTGAAAAAGATGAGTCTAGAACAAAATGAATTGTCAGATAATCATTTTGTAACTTTTAATAATCGATGGAGTAAACAAAGCAGCATATTATAGTTGTAGGATCATTTTGTAACTTTTGATAGTCGGAGGACTCAACAGAACAAAATCATGTAGTCGGGTGACCATTTATAACCCTAAAATAATTGAAAAATTATATAAGCTTGTCATGTTAGAAACAGAAACGTGTAGTCGAAGAAGAAAAGGAAACGATGTAAATGCACACATCTTGTTTTCACCATAGAAAATGTTTACATAATTAACAAACCTCTTATCAATGAAAACTACCATTTTAAATTGAATCCCCCAAAAAGAACCCTTTAAAATATCATAAATTAAAAGAAAAGAAAAAAGAATATTAGTAAGTAGTATTTATTAGAATACATATAAAATGAACATAAGCAAATCTTAATATAATAATCCAATCATCAACCATTAATATAAAGATTTATGAAATCTTTTCTTACCAAAAGAAAAATTATGCCATTAAAGAGTTGGCAAAGCATAGTTGGACAATTTCTTACATACCCCAGCAATTAAAATATCACTAATTAATATAAATTTATAATTAAACTTAAGAATGGTTATATATCGATCATCAACACAATAACTCAAGCGAAGAGAAGCAGCCATGGAAGGCTTAAGAAGCTCTTCAACACCACTTGTTCTTTTCCCAGTATTCCTTATTGTTACGATTATCATCCTTTCTTTTCCCTCGGTTTACCAGGAAAATCTATCCGCTATTTTCCCTTCGTTTCCCACCAACCAAACACCCTCGGTTTCCCCTTCTGTCAACGTTGCTACGTATATCAAAGTAAGTCCATTCATGAGATTTTTCTGATGTTGTTCATTCCCATTTTCGTAATGCATTGCTTTTGATTTCGAGAGTAGAAGGTGAGTAGAGACGAAGCCGAGTTAGCCGACGCACGAGCGGCGATCCGGGAAGCGATTCAGACTCGGAATTATACATCCGATAAGGAGGAAACCATCGTCCCTACAGGCTCCTTTATAGAAATCTATACGCTTTCCATCAGTTAAGGAAACTCTTCATCTTCAAACTTTTTAATGCTTTTTGAATTTATATACTAATGCATTTGAATTTATCTTTGTAATTTTGGATTGAATTTTCAGGAGTCACATAGGATGATGAAGTGGTTCAAGATATGTTTTTACAGAGAAGGAAAAATACCCTTAGTCCACATGGGGCCAATGAAACACATATATGCAATCGAGGGGCAATTCATATCCGAAATCGAGAGCGAAAAAAGCCATTTCTTCGCCCGTCATCCCTACGAGGCCCATGCATTCTTCTTGCCGGTTAGCGTAGCCTACATCATGAAATACGTCTATATGCCGATCACCACTTACAACCATGAGCGTTTGGTGAGGATCTTAACCGATTACATCAAATTGTGGCCAACAAGTACCTCTTTTGGAACCGAACATATGGTGCTGATCATTTCATGCTCTCTTGCCATGATTGGGTACGTTACTTGATCAAATGTTCTAAACGTAACATAGTATATAATATAACTATCTAAGTGGTAACATTATAGGCCCCGGACGTTTCTGTGCCGGACCCTGAACTTTACAAGAATTTAATAAGGGTGCTATGCAATGCAAATAGCTCTGAAGGATTTCATCCCGAGCGAGGGGTGTCATTGCCGGAGTTAAACTTACCTCCTCAGGGGTTCAGCCGATCACCTGACAAACGAACCATCCTAGCCTTCTTTGCGGGTGGTGGCCACGGAGACGTTCGTAAAAGCCTGCTTTACCATTGGAAGGACAAAGATGATGAAGTCCAAGTCCACGGGTGCCTTTCTAAAGGCCAAGATTACAATAAATTGATGGGGAAGAGCAAGTTTTGCTGGTGTCCGAGTGGGTTTGAAGTGCCTAGTCCTAGAATGGTGGAGTAGTTTAATACCGGATGTGTTCTGGTGATCATATCAGATAGTTATGTGCTGCCGTTTAGTGATGTGCTTGACTGGAGCAAATTCTCGGTCGAGATTCCGGTGGAGAGGATGTCAGACATTAAGAGGATTCTAAAAGGGATACCGGAAAAGAAATATCGGAGAATGCAGAAGAAAGTGCTGAAAGTGAGAAGGCATTTTGAGCTTAATAGGCCGGCTAAACCGTTTGATCTCCTACATATGGTACTTCATTCAATATGACTTAGAAGGCTTAACATTAGACTAGAAGATTGACTACTCTCATCAGCATTGTGTGTGTGTGTGTATATAAATATTGAACTATTTTTGTAGGTTCTTATATTTGGTCAAATCCTGATTTTGTGTGAGGTAATTTCAAGGGACGTGAAATGCATTCGGATTTAAGAGATATATATATATATATATATATCCATTACTTTTACGGACATTTTAAGCAAGGCTGTGGAAAAAGGACAAAGTGAGCATAAACAGCTTTTTAACATTTTTTCCCCTTTCCCCAACCCCAACTACGAGGCTAACAGTTAAGTTGTATCCATCCTACAGTGATCTCTAAAGCAATTGCAGGGAAATTAGCAAGAAATTATTAACTTTGGAAGGAATTCCAAGTAATTACAGTACAAATATTTAAAACTTACTGCAGATTTTGAAGCTTCACAGCTAGCTAGCACAACATCGAGCAACAAGAGGCAGATTTGGATGACAGACAACATCCAAATCTGGTGACAATCGGGGAGGAAATTGTGAGAAAATGCAAAGAGATTCCATTAGCGGTGAGAACATTAGGAAGCCTACTGTTTCTGAGAACTGATGAATCTGAATGGGTCTCTGTAAGAGATAGTGAACTGTGTACACTTGACCAAGGTGAAAATGACATTTTGCCGGTGTTGAAGCTGAGTTATAATCATCCAGAAGAGTTTTAGGGAATCAACTAAATCTCTTATAAATTATTGTGCCTCCAATTTTAAGTATCTGTGAGCACTTAAATTACCCTATCCACAACCGACGGCTTTATCAAATTCGATTGGTACTATGGGGCACTTAAAAGACTTTTAGATTCCCTTTTGTGACATACATAATCTTCCGAGCTGTTTCTACAAGCTTCGTTGCTTGCAATCATTAAACAAGATTTGTATTCCGTTGATGCAGTTGTCGGACAGCATGCAAGGCTTGATGGAGCTTAGATATCTTCAAATAACCAATGAATCTAAGCATTTGAAAGGAATTCGAAAAGGATGTTGGACTTGTCTTCAATATTTGGCATTGTTATTGTGTTATGAATCAGAATGTTTGTCGGAAGAAAGGCAATCTCGCATCACTTTGAACACTTGTTTTGTAACATCCAAAAAGTGGGCTAGTGACCAAAATGTAAATTTTGAAAGTTTGAGGATCAAAGTAGAAAATTGGGAAAAGTTTAAAGTCATAAATGGTATTTTTCCCAAAAAAGAAAATAAAAATATTATTTTCACATTTTTAAAATGTTGGAAAGTAATATTTAATGGTTTAATTCCATGTTTAATTTGGACCTTTGGATTAAAGTGACCATATTGTAAGTTTTGGAAATTACAAGGGCAAAATGGTAAAGTGGGAAAATATTTTGTCTATCTTTGACTATTGAAAGATGATAAGGTTGTTGTAACTTGGTATTAATGTAAATATCAAATTCATTAAGGGTAAATTAGTATGGATATTTTGATTTTAAGGGTAAAGTGGTAATTTGACATTTAATGAATTTTTAATTCATTATTAATTAAGAAAGATGAAGAAATATCATTCCAAGATGTTCATCTTTTCCAGCAGCTTCACGTGAGTTTTTCCAAGGTAACAAAAATATTTCTTTTCCATTTTGGAGTCAATTCTTTTGAAATTCGAGTTATGTCATGAAATAGGAAAGTGATCTACGCGAAAAACACTATCAATTGGTACTAATACTTCTTTCTAATATTGTTGGATTTCAAAGATCCCAAATCTAAGGGTTTATGTTCATGATATGATTCATGAAATTGATGATAAATCTTGATGATTTAGAGGTTGTAGATTCATTTTCAAGCTTGATTTATGGTTAAAACATGTTCGATCATTCTAGAAATTATTCTTTAAATTCGGCCAAAAGAGGAACTTATAAAACTTTTTGTTCTGATGAGACTTGATTAGGGATTTGATTGTAGAGATGTTAAAAGGTTGATTGAAAGTTGATTTCATGCTTGAATCAAATCAAAATCGAGCAAAATTATGAAAACGTAGTTTTAAAGGATAAAGTAATCGTTCATGATGTAATTGAGTAAGAAAAATTATGGAAAAAATCTATAAGGTCTGGAAATGATGTAGGAAGTATTCTACATGCTTTAGAAAAATTTGGGGACCATTCTATAAATTTTTAGAAGTTGGGGGACCAATTTGGTAATTTTGGAAAAGTTGGGAATAGTTGTATAATTGTCTTAATAGTTGATGTACTATGCTGAAAATTACTGTTTTGGGATTAAAATGAGCATTTAGATGTGAAATATGACCATTTTGAAAGTTTGAAAAGATTAGTGATTTAAGTGCAATATTCACATAGTTGGGGTGCTCAAAGGTAATTGTACATTTGTAAAAGTAATTGGTTGGTAATAATTTCAGT